ACCGTACGTCCAATCTCGTTCCGTATTGTAGGTATTGATGGTGCGTAGTTCCGTGTCTGTTACTATTCCACTCACAAGAAATGCGCCAATCCACCAAGTACGTGTGTCCAAGTTGTATCTTAGCGTGCACACTCAGATTGGAATCAAGAGCCTAAGCCTCAAAGCAGAACTGTTATGAATTTAATCGAACCCATTGGAGCACACCTGTGAACCACAAAACCACAGCGAATAGAAAAGTGCGAAAGATGCAGCACGCACACTAAACGGTTCCTTGGATGAAATACGAAATAGGGCACAAAGCTCCAACAGTTTTCCAAAGAGAAAAACGTTTATTATGGTCCGAAACTCATGTGACTTAGACAAAAGAATGACATTTTCAAATTGTCTGACAGATTTGAAGTTTATATGGCGATTGTAAGAATTTCAGTAGCCTCGGTGGGATTCAAACCCACGTATGGACGCTGCCTACGCTTTGTACACGCCCGCTCTACCAGCTGAGATACTAGGCCGCACCGGTAGCACTGATCTTTTCACATTCAAATTACCCATCCAACTTACAGAGGCATATGACATCCATCAGTTAGCATGTAAGCTGACTGCCCCGACAGGTTTTTGTCTACTTTATAGGCATCTCACGTGCGAAATCACTGCTGGTATGGTCTGTGGAAAGAACAGTGGTACATCAGTAAGTGGATTCCGATCGAACCCCCCTTGATAATATGGATGCCTTCTTGGGAATCGGCCCAACCGAATTCACCGTACTACGTGAGGTGCAAGATTCTAGTGCATATATTCGCGCATTGGAACTATATCTGGTATAAGATACCAGCAATGATGCCAAATGGACATTTAGAAGCCATTTTCTGGAAGGATAACACCTCTGTTCTAAAGTCGTATCTAACAAAATCCTGGTTATTGTCTCGCCGTATCAAAACAATGGTGTGGCAGCCGCATGCATCCCAAATTTGAATCCAGTAGGAAATATCTAGGCTATTCTTGCCCAAAAGATGTACCAATATTCCAGAGCTTGCACCGTAAAGCACGAACTAGAGGCATCGTTGATCCGGGGTGGGGGTGGAGTGGAATAATATGAACACGGACGTGATTCCCAATCTCATACAGATGATGCTGACCAGGTCTGTAGAAATTCCGGGGACCGAATGACCAATGCACCCGGTATTAAAGCAATAAAATAGAAAACGGGTCAATCAAATGGGTTAAGTTGGTGATTATGCAAATGTCCATATATGGTCTTCCTCTTATAACATTCCAATCCATTTTGTGTGCGTAGGCAGCTAATTGAGAGCACACAAAATTGATGTCACTTCTGCTCAGTTGGAGCTTGTATCATAGTGCGGAGAGAAGTCCTCAGTGTGCATCCCGTTTATAGAATGGATGTGCTCGTGGGTGGCGGAGGGGAGTATTGCGGTCAGCACGACAGTCTGCTAACTCCAACTTTACAATCTAGCACACTATAGTTACACTGTTGACCCACTACTGGCCTGTTCACCAGCTTCGAGAGAGAGAGAGAGGGGAACACCTATTGGGCGGCAAAACGTTTCGAACGATTTCGTATGGGGGGCTGTTGCGACCGTTGGCAAAAACACGAGAGTTTCTGAAAGGGATCTAGCCTTGATCATAAATGGGGTGTTGGTGATCAGATAGTCTGACTAAAAGCAGGAAAAACAACCACTTACTTGTAAGAAGTGATTAAAAACAGTTTTTGAATACAAGTAATGCTTTCCCCTAACAGATCACGGTTATTGCCTACATCACTGCTACCCTCGTTTTCTCTCCCACGTTTCACAGTTTACTGTATTTTCAGATTCGCTTCGTTCTACTCTCCCCGCTCATAACCCACTTGGAATGGACCGAGGATGCGGAATGCTTTCGATTTAACATTCTAGTAGGTAATCCGTTTCTCCTTGTCTTCCCTGCTTAATAATATGCCTTACTGCGCGTTACATTTCCATCACTCTTGTTTTGTAATGAGGGATGATGTTGATTTGTTACACAACGGGTGTGTTTAGAATCGCGTGGTGATCAGTTACATGCCAATGTCAACCTACTCGCTTTTCGGAATGCTTTCTGAGCTGACTGTTCGTCCGTCATTTACTCAGCATGCTGCTTCACCTTTGACATAATCGTTTGATTTTATCAGAAGTTAATTGGCGTTGCCTAACACTTCAACAACAGTCTGATGGCACATCATCCAGGAAGATTTATTGCACAATTTCATTGTCAGAACAATAAGTACAATTAAAAGATTTTGCTTCAAACTCACTTGTCAGGACCCTGGTTGATTGTTTCTTGCCTTTTTTTTAAAAAAAATAACGTTTAAACTCTCAGTTACTTTCGCGTAATGTTGTGGGAAAAGGTTTGCCGCTATCGACGGTCCACCCTNGAGGATAATCTTTTCGCGCAATCCTCACTTCATTCAGTACACTGGTGGGAAGAAAATGGTGAGCCCCTCTCAATCACAACGACCAATGCTTTGACCCATATCCACAGCTTCCGAAGTACAGTATGATAAAATCGTGTGGCCTGGTTTTTGCGAATGCTACTTAGCTTCATTCACGTTCGCTATATACCACTGTCTCTCTGTCGTGTCTGTCAGTTTGCTGTGACATTTGGAGGGTCACAGCAAAGGATGTTTCGATGTTTGCAGAGCAATCGGTTGTTAACCCCATCACCCTTCCCTTCCCACTTCGCACACCAAGCAGAATTTACAGTGATTCCTAACTTTTCAGTTGGTTGGTTCTATGCACGACCATCTCCACGATGGTAAAACGAAGAACTATGGTTTGGATGATTCTGTGGGTGACCGAAGGTTATCGAAAAGCATCGCGCGAATGGGCAAAATATCACCGTCATATCACAGTGTGGTACTATCGTGGGGAGCGTTGTGACAAGGTTACCGGGTTGCCATCCTGGAATGTAAAAGCTGGTCTCTATTCTTGCAGCGGTTTTTGATTGTTCATCCAATACTTTGAACCAATCATGTTTCAGTGGATGAAAACCAGTTCACTCTTCCGCTAGACCAAACAGCTACCCCCACCGTATCGAAACCCCGACCAGCTTGCTTTGTCAATACATACATTCCGTTTGTGTATCCATGTCCCCTGAACCTTCAGACTCTTAGCCAATACTTTGCTTCATCGCTCCGTATAACAATTTATAATGATTATTGTACCAAGATTTGTTTGGCACACAGTCTGGCATCAGACGTGTGCGAAATATATGCGTATATACATATCTGATCCACAATGCAGTGGGGTCTAGTTCCACCTGAGTAACTTGATCGAAACACTTTCCGGAGCTTCCAAAAACAGTTCATCCACGGCCTTTGGGTTTCGGTTTGGTATTTTGTTCACTGATGTTTTGACTGTCGGTTCGTCGTTCGGGGTCGTCCCTTTTCCTCATGCACCCCATGAGACAGACGGAATATGGACGGGGCTACATCTTATGGACTGTTGACCATCTAGCTTCTGTTTCAGTTTGAACAACCATTAACCATGCACTTTCGTGCGCCGGTTTTGATTGCTGTTTTTTGGCTGCCCATTTGGATGAATAGTAGAAGAAGAACAGGAAAGATGAAGGTAGAGTCGAAGAGAAAATTAAGAAATCCAGTAAACTATGGCTGCGAAGAAATTGAGAAGATGCAAGAACGCCACTGTTTATGATGCCTAGCCATATCATTTAGTGTCTCTAACCACCGGGTACGATCTTCTCGAGGTCCCCAGCCAGGGAGCCTAACGGCCCCTATGTGACCTAGTCCCCTGGTTAGGGTTTTCATACCGTCGTGCCAGGTCCTGGCTTGGCCACCCTTGACTTTCTTCCACCCACTACCTGCCTCGGCAAACATCGCTCGCCGTGGCAACCTATCTGGTGATATGCGTAACACATGTCCCAACAAACCTTATCTATGGAGGTCGACAACTTGCTTCAGTGGGCTACCGCGAATGCCTAAAACTCTACGCCTAACCTCAGCATTGTTTGCCTGGTTGCCCCATCAGACTCGTGCAATGCTGCGTAGACATTGGTATTCAAACACCGACAGTCTATCTTTGTCCTGTTTTCTTAATGCCCCAACGACTGTTCTATATGGCAGAACTGACCGAACTATCGCGGCATACCCTCGACCCTTCACAGACAACCGAGTGTGGCGACGGTGCCACAGATGTCTCAAGTTGGCAACTGCCAACCGAGCCTTCTGTATGTGCGCTGACACTTCATCTCTGATGCGTCCACCGGGTGAGATGTAGCTGCCTAAATAACAAAACTTATCCACCTGCTCTATTACTTCCCCAGTTGGAGTGGAGCTGGGTGCTGGACCGACCCAGTTTTGCAGTAACATTTTACACTTTGAAGGTGCAAAATGCATACCGAACATGACTACACTGGCATTCAAGCTGTCCAAAAAATCTTGCAACTTACCTGCATCTTCAGTTAATAGCACAATGTCGTCTGCGTACTCTAGATCAGACAGTCTGCCACCTGGGAATAAATCGATGCCACTTTCCTCACCCGAGGATAGGGCTTGAGTGAGCAGTAGCTGTCTAATGCAGCCCGGAGATTTCCCCCACCGACGGGAGGAAGCTCCATTTACACCGCTGCTTCATCCACCTAGCGGGTCTTTTTTTGACCGGTCCGCTGTTCCGGTTGTGTTAATTTCCTGGTTTGAGCTTTCCATGGGTGAAAGTAGGTAGTCAAAGAAAGTCAGGACTTGCCCAATAAGCTGGTCTTGTGCATTTTAGCTTTATTTGGCCTCTACTCATTGGTCTGTTAGGCATGATTGTGAGAAGCCATCCTGTATAGCTCTCAGAGTCACGGAGACCGGCAGGTTATCACAGGACGTCATGCCGGAGTCTCGTCGTAATGGAAATGCGTAGTTCAGCTCTATTCTGCTAGATAAACTTGTGCAATAACTTGTTCTGGTCGCGTTTGGTTTCTTTTTACCAACTGTGTACAAGTCGTTATTACCTCTCCCCTTCCAACAGATTCACATGGAACGCTTGAAAGAGAGCGGCCTTATGGAAATTCGTCTCACGTCGCCGTTTACTGGAGTGCCCTGCTCCAGTCTTCTAAAAAAAGCATCATCAACTGCATTTGTTTCGGTCAGTCAACACGATTCCATGCAATCAGTCCAAGAGTTTTGGCACAAACTTGATCGTGTCGGTCTCAGCGAGCCGACGACCTCTGTTCGACGTATTGCGGTGATTGCACTAGATGCCTTTGTGCTATTTCTGGGCACAATCTCGTTTGTGCTATGCGTTCGATCACTCGTGCGGGGTTTCTTGATGTGGCGTGTAAGTCATTTCCGTGTTTGTTTCATTTATCAAATTTCTGTAATTCCCTCACCCCATTCATTTAATTAACCATTCAGTCACTGAAATTGGCGGTCCGAGGTTCCAAACCCTCCAAAATCGTCATTCACCTTGCTTATGCTGAGCAAATCCTCTGTCGTCCTGCTCAAAATTACACCAATACTTTTCATTCTTTATATGGTCTGTTACTTGAAGTTGCCAGACTTAAATTGCCGGCTAACGTACCTGGACTGTTTATCTTCGTATCTAAGGTGTTTTTTGTCCTTCCTGATATGAAATGAAATGGCGTGTTACCTCAATGCCCGTGTGTCGTCACTGCAACGTAGATCCCAATGAAAATCCGTTCTCATACCTATCGTATCTTTTGTCATTTTCTTTTCCATCGTTTTACGTAATTTCTGTTATAGTAGTAATGCTATAATTCCACAAGTCGAGTGCTGGGGCGAGGAGAGTTGTTTATTCACCACAACGGTACGAGCATGAGTGTATTGGGTCACCTGTATTAAAGCGTCTCACCTGGAGCAGATCAATCATAATTTCGATAAGCATGCAGGATAATTGATACATTATCTGTAATTGCAACTCTGAACACACGTGTTTACCCCAACAGGTTTTGTTCATTTTTTACCAGTTTGAGAAACCACTGATCGCACCCTTCTGCCCACTGCAAACACATTACTGCCTCACGGAGGTAGTAGTGTTATAATTCCACAAGGCGGTGCTGATCGAGGATCATCCTTTATTGAGGAATACAGATGAGATATCACCAATTTGCCATACATAACACAGAACATCTCATCAGAAAAATAACATCGCTGTTCCTGGCGGCACATTGAATAATGCATAGGGCAGTCGGTAGTTATTCTTTCAGATACACCACTTGGCCCTCGGTGGTCTTGTTATATTTTTGATCATTGAAGGTTACCTACTACTCACAAGTGAGTAGTATCTCACAACAGTAGTAGCAGCGGTAGCGGATTTTTTTCCATCCGCTAGCGCAAATCGTACTGAGTGAGAATGCCTGCTCCCGTCTTATCAACCGTTCCTTCTCTGCACAAATCAGTTCAGTTTACTTGGATTAGTCCCGAACTGTGAGTTTTAAATGCCGAAGACAATTTTTGCTCCCACATGTTTCACTTTTGGCGGCGGCCTTGTTCAACTGGTCGAGGTTATCAGAACAGCTCATGTGTATCATGTGCATCAAAGCCACCCATCTTTCTATTTTCGTATACCCCTGTAACGATCGAAACGTCTCGCCTTAATTCGAACGTGTCACAAAATAATCGACGAGGACCAAGTTCGTTACGAATGGTGTCTATGAAACCGTTGAGCAGTGCGTACTTGGATGCGGATCCCGAGATCAAGAACAATAGTGATCTGAAAGGAGTACTGAGCTGTTTATGTCAGTAGTAACAGTGATCCATGCGAGAAAAATAGTAAATTCATTCAACCACAAAGGAAAGATCAGACACCTGTCTGTTAAATCAAATTGTTCTGTTCATCAATGTGAACTGCCTCTTCCAAGGTACAAAATTGTACTCAAGCAGTCACTGGCTCGAAGCATGAATCAGGAACTGCCCACAAACTCGCTCAGGGGCGTTTCTAAGGCTCGCAAAGCGGAAGGGGAACAACGGTGAAAACAACAACAACAACGCGAGGACTTTGAATTCGACAGTGCCATTTAGCTCGAAAATCGTATTCCACCTTTTTGTGGTTTATTCATCATCAATCGCATCTTGATCAACTTCAAGGACGCCAACGCTCGCACGTTTATAAAATTGTTATCGCGTAAACCGTACATTTTGTGAGTTATGCCAACAAAATGTGAGATAAATTCAAGCGGATTATCAGAACAGAAAATGGCAGACGAAGAGAACATCGCACAAGTTGGCAATTTGGTCTAAAACAGTGCAGCAAAATGCAAATTTCTCTCATTTTAACGGGAAAAATTCTTTCTCTGTTGGGAAAAGTGTGCAAAGTAACAGACATCACGCGGAAAAAGAGTCCACAAGCCTTATCATGCAAAAAGAGTCGTGATTGCTCAAAGAAATTCCCGGTCGCATTGCACACCTGGATGGGTATAATTTGTATCGGGTTGACCGTCCCACGAATGTCCGTAAACAGGCGGATGTGTTTTCATTTAAGTTAACAACAACTCAAATAAATCAACTGCCGTCATTTACGAAAACTCGGTGAATCAAATCAGTCTCCGCTTCATTGAATGTAAGTGTCATTCTCTGAATGAGTTTCGTTCCAACCATTTATCTGGCGCCTACGTCTGACATCAACAAGTTCTATGATATCTTTTTTTACTTCCATCATAGCACAAACAAGCGAATCTTTGTGTGTGATTTGTGATTTTAATAGACATGATGTAACTTTCCTCACCACACTGGGCCTACAAAATTTGGTATATTTTCGTACTAGACTCAATACATAACTAGACTTCGTCTTTACCAATAGACCGGAAGTTTTCAAAGTCCAGAAAAGTGCTCCTTTGAGTAACTCTGAGTAGTTGACCATTGTATCTTAAAAGTGTGGCTAACTGTATACATTCAAACTAACTGGTGCGCGTTTTTAAGAAGATCGTCAAAGATAATGAGTCAAAGGACTTTTTCATCGGAAAACCTAGAAAGATCCTTGATTGTCTCCACAGATTTTTCGGTGTTTCCCGATCAGAACCCTTCTGTCCTCTGTGAACGACCTTAATTTCTGTTTTAACCAGTGTTGTCCTCTAGAAACGGTCTTTATCCATAAAGACAGATATTCATCACCGTTAATAAAACAATTGCACGGGTGGAAAGAACGGGACTATAAGCATGGACAGAGAACCATGCTAGGCTGCTTAGAATTTTGATCGAAAGGGAAATATTGACCTGAACGCGGCGCGTGTTACTAAAAATCTGAAATAAATGGTTTAAGTAGTTTGACACCCACCACTTGTTCACTCAATACTTTCGGCTCTATATGGGAACTGTAAAACCATCAGAATGATGTTCTTAGACCACAAAACGCATTTGACAGTCCTAATCGATCGCTATTGCTCAACCAGATTATCAGGAGTGATATTAATTCAAGTGTTGGTATCATCATTTTTTATTGTTCATTGTTAACTAACATCACTCTTAGTCTAAGAAGTCTAAACGAAAATAACGCATAAAACGGCAGCGAATTATTCGTAATTAATGAACTGATGTTAATTGATTGCGTCACAGTGATTGTGATCGTGCAACATCGATAAGTCTCGGTGGATGACTTATTAAATTGAGACATTCATCCCTTCTTTCTGGTTGACTTTGGTTCCATGAAATTTATTGGATTCGTCTAAGCTCATAAGCCAGTTTCAAGTGTTAGTGTTTGAATCACTCGAATAGAATTGTTATCCTGTCTACCGATGACCCATGTATCGGAATCAAGTACAGTCAATCTCCTGCTATGTCGCACCCCTGAGAAGTCGCATTTTCCAATATCTTCCCACTTTTTCGAAAACCCAAATCAGTTGCATGTCTAATAGCGTAGTTTCTGACTATGCGATGTCGCACACCCCAATATGTCGCAGTTCCTGATACGTACTCACTTGGTCGTTGACCGATTTTCGGTACGACCATAGACCATCCACCCTGAAATGTCGCACTCAACCAATGGCGTTGCACCTAGTGTAACGCGTTCGTGGCACTGTTCACTGATTGGATAATCTTTTCGAGGAAGTCACACTGATGCAAGTGATCGGAGTGAGTGTAATTTGACGTCAAAATGTGCAAGCGCCTATCGATCAGAGAGAAGCACAATGTGTTGGAAATGCGGAAACAGCAAGGTGCAATTCAGAGCTTCGTAGCCAGGTCGCTTGGCATTTAAGAAAACACTGTAGCGAACACGGCTTGTTTTCAATAACTTCCTCTTCGGGCTAATACAGTTATATATAGGGTTCACAATTATCAAATTAATGTAATGGTCAGATGTGATGAATATCATTGGTTGATTGTGATCTTGAGATGTATAGTTTGGAAATAGGAGGGCAGCGTTGTTGTTGTTATTGTTGTGTAGTTCGGAAATGTTCACAGTCGGTGGATAGAGTGAGCTGCTCCATTTCCGGTCTGCGCCCCTGGGTCCTGACAAAGGTCACGGTCGTTTCGGTCGGCTGTATCAGGTTGAGGCCAGGGTGAACGAAGTGACTGGACGAATGATTTTTGAGAACAAAGGAACGGATTGAGTAGGCGAATAGCCGCCGCTTCCGCTGTAACAAGGTGTCGTTGACGAACAGCTTTTGGTGGGTTTGCTGGTACTTTGTAGATCGCCTTGGAAGCGTCGTCGTTTGCATGATGTCCCGTGTCTGCAAGGTGTTCTATCACCGCACTTGTAATCGTTTTCCTTCTGCCCGTTCTCAAAAACGATTCGTGCAGTTGCGCCTGTGTGAATGAATGAACGATACTTTCACTTGTCCTAGAGCACCGATGAAGTTAGGCAGATCACTTGCCAAAGGTCACCATAACCCGGGTCTAAGGACAGTTTGTGAGATGCACTTTTAGTTTATGAATCGTTAACTGCTCGAGAGTTATCGTAATTCCCGTAGGCTGGCGTCTATGTCCTTCGGTTGGCTGAGTAGGAATGAATTTCTTCCAAGTAAACTCCCGTTCCGCGCCTACCGGAAAATTTGAGCGAGAACCCGCTTAAAAAATAGCCATGTACCTTAGACGAGTCAAACGTTGTCCCAGTGTTATCATCGTTTGAACTTTTTCACTCCGAATCTCCCACAGCTGATTCTCCTGTGGTTATTCTCTACCAACTTAAGCAGCATCCGATCCATAACCTATCCTCCTCCTATGCCGGCCCGAAAATCGCACGACCGATTGAGTTCGTTCATCGATCGGTCGTTTGAGAGTGTACTACCCACTTGGCCACCAGGCAGCTGATCAGGTCATTTTTCATTTTCCATTTACACGATATAGCTGCTATCTACGGAACGAATTCACCTTTGAAATCTTCCATTATTCGCTTGAAATAAGTAGTCAGGTCGTGAATGTTTCCAACCGAGTCATAACCCGGAGGCTAGTGCTGAGATGAGCTGGATCTGTGGCCCGTAACTAGCTCGCACAGATGGGTTGTGCTATATCATGTAAATGGAAAATGAGAAACGGTCTTGCATTCTGCCTGTGAGGACCCTGGTTCGATCCCCAGTTGTGTCGATGGATTCGCACTGCTGATGAGACCTAACTAGGTCGAAGCAATTGTCCATTGCTTCCTAGCCTTTCAGTTCATCTTTCATCTACTATATGTACGACAAATTAACCTTTGACATTGTTTTAAGCTGGAAAGCTTCGATGCTTCTCACTTCGAGTAAGAATACTTTCTGCCCCCTGCAAGTTGATTGTTGGGTTTGTGAATGCATGCGTGCTCCCCACAGTTGTACTGTTTCCCTTGTTAATTTACCCGGTATGTTGAAAAATACTTATTTACTGGTGAGATCTCTAAAACACATCTTTACACGCAGTGGCATCACTTAAGATCAATTTGGAGACTGTCGTAGAGACACATAGAAGCATGTTGAAATTTTATTGCTAAAATACTCTCAGACACTTATCACCCATCACACAATGAACTTTCAAAAGCAGTATCGACATCATCCACACATTCATGGTTCAAACGTTCATTCGCACGTACCTCTTCATATCGTAATTCAGTTTTGCCATATCTCACACGTCCAGTTGTTGACAAGACAGAATTGCTCAATTGCTTGTTTCTACTAATTTCAGCTTCATTTTGTATGATTTTGTAAATTTGCATCCACAAGTACGATGTGACACTCCGAGAATTCATCCACCCCGATGCGTAAAGCTACTACTACTGACTCGAATGCACACGGAACATGGTTGATGACAATTCATTCAACAATGATTGTGTATCGCGCCAATGCGAGAGAGGCTCTAGATGCGAAATGTAGGTGATGAGTCATGGCTAATTACAGTGCCGATTTGGTCAGCAAGTGACTAATAACAGGCGGATGAGATTGGAGTGGACGGTGATGGCGCGAGACGGTTCCCAAGGGGGCACCCTGACACACGTCCACGAATGATTTCACATATGATGTAAGTCATGGGTTAAAGTTAAAGGAAGATGGTTATTGGGTAAACATACAGACTGGTAGGTGTTGGCACAAAGTCGTGACACAAATATTGGTAGAAATACCCTAGATCCGATGAATCTGGTTCGAGAATGCTAACGACCATCAATGAAAGTGCATAAAATTTGGTCCGGAGAAGTAAAGGTCAAATGAGGAGAACAATGAGGACATTTTCCACGACCAATATTATCCGTATGTATTTCATACAGCCTTCAAATTAATGCCATATAAAAAACGATCAAACCAAACTGCTGTTCATTCGATAACTCTTGACCGACCGGCGGGCCACGCTTCCGCACCGCGTACCCAGCGAACGCAGCATTCAACCCATTCAACAGTTGGGATTGTGCGCTATGAAACATCGCGTGCATTTTTCTTCACCGCACCAGGCGATTGCGTGGTTACTGAAGACGGCTCCATCACTCGATCACCAGTTATGTAACATACTTTTGCTTTAGGCTTTCGGTATAATGTGCTTTCCCTCCCCCCGTTTCACCATTTTCTTCCCTCCTTTCCCACAACGCAGGAAGCCGTTTTGTTTTTCAAAAATTGGTTCTCCATTCCACTCTTTGGTGTTTTCACCGAGTTTGTCCAACCATGGCTGTTCGTCATCATAATGAACGATCTCATGATTGCTTCCAGTTCCATATATGCGCTGATCAATATCAACAGAGTGAGCTCTATTCTGTTTTGTTATATTTCAATGTATCGATCCTGTGCGTTTTGAATGAGTTATAATTTGTGAACGGAGTTGTCCCAAACACTGACAGCTTGTTTAGGTGTAAGCATCATTGTCAAGTGACGGATGAACATGTTGAGTCAATTTTCTGTTGTAGCGGTTGAGTCAAGGCAGAAAGAGAGCATCAAAGCTGTTTCGTTCTTGTTGAGACTCGTTAACATATTGTGATTTGTCTTCCCGATTTTGGCTCTAGGCACAACATAAAGGTCAAATACCAAGTACCTGTAAAATACGACCGGGCCCATCCAAGCACGTAACATTCTCAATGAGCTGATTATTTTGCGCGAAAGCAAAGAAGCTGTCTGCGCATCTATCAGTACCATAAGGGCTCAAATCCGGTACCACACACAAACAGGCCGCAAACAGATAACCGGATTGGCTTTAGGCGAACTAATCACACTTTGCGATCGTTTAGATGACAACCTTTTTTGGCGAACCTATAGTGGGCCCGCCATCCCGGACGTAAACTTTCATTTGGAGTTTATGTGGTTACTGGGACCACCGATCATCATGTGACTAATGTTGCTTTAATAGCCTCCCCGCTTCAATAAATCCTAGGAAGTTGGATGTAAGTTGTGCTTTTTTACTACAAACATTTTGTGTGATAAATAACAGACAGGNAGACAGGTTGAACCCCCCATACTAAAAACAGCAACCAAAGCCCTGGGTCTTGAGTGGCAGACCACGAAGGCTCCGCTAGGTGGTATAGAGGTGTTTGGAAGCTTGTTTAAGAGATCATGTTCCATATAATCTTTCTGTAACTTTTGTCATTATCCTCCAGGCTTAGCATCCTCCTCACTCACTCCGCCTCATTTTCCTTAACCCTCATTCCAATTTCGAAACCGATTTAGTATTTGTTGACATGCTGTGAAAACGTTCTGCGCAGTTCTGGCCATGGGAGAGTAGGCGGAGGTTGTGATAAATTTTTTCACGTTAATCGTTCTTTTTTTAAGTTTGTTTACCGGAAGTGGTGAACGAAATCGACTCATTGTGCAAGCAGCTGTCCCGCCCACTCACTCACTCACTAAATTCACCCTTTGCTTTCATACCAAGAGAGATAGAACGCACTCGTTGTGTCATTACCATCTATAAACGACACTGGGTGCCAATAACTACAGGGGAACAGTCACACTTTTACGATCGAAAACCTTTAAGTGTTTTCAACAAGAATCACCTTTAGCAGAACCCCTGTTGCTTGTGTAAATAGATCTATGCGATGTTCAATTATCAAGAGTACAAACTGAAGAAGCTGCCGTTTTTAATAAAACTTTATTGAATTTGGTTTTGTATCGAAACCCTGATCCATTTCTTACCGCATTGTTCGGTGGTGTGGTAAACAATTTCCGCCAGTATCTTTTTGCAGCAGCAACAATAACAACAGTTCTCGGGGATGGAAGAATATATATATAACACCAACCTTTACAGATACGGCTCAAAAAAAAACCATGGGTGAACGAAAAAAATATAAGCACGAAAGCGTGGAAAATAAAACAGTCAACTTCGGGAGTAACAATTTTTTTGTTTACTATACACCATTTTTTTTAATTTTTGTTTTTATTTTTGGGATTTCAAACAGGAGATGATGCATTCGCGCCACTGACTTCGGTTCGATGGCATATCCCGCAGCGTCTCCTGCCAAATTCAATTTGAATCTTTGGGGCCCCAGCCGGGGAGCCGGGAAACTCCAACGGAAGCCAGATCCGACCACAATCTCTTTAACCCTCTGCTCCACGTTATAGCCTGCCCACCTCGCTGTTTATTCCAGCCTGGATCGATGCCTGCGAATAATGCACGGTGTGGCAGACGTTGTTCAGGCATTCACAGGACGTGCCCATCATACGCGGGCGATGTTCCGCAGTCAGCGGTTTTCGAAGACTGATAGTCGCTGGACGTGATCTGCTCGGAGAGGCCAGGTTTCGCAACCATAGAGCAATACGGTGCGTGCCGTTGCGCAATACACACACTCTTTCAGTGAAAGGGATATGTCACGCCGGCGTCAGAAATGCCGCAGATCAGTAAACGCTAATCCTCGCCCACACCACTGCCAGCCGTTATGCAACTCCCAAGGTAGACAAAGCTTTCGACTACTTCCAGAGTGTCATTACCCAACGAAAGTGCAGGAATGAGTTCCTGCCGAACTTGCAACAACACTTTGCACTTTGAAGGTGCAAATTACATACCATAGAGAGTGATCTCAATTGCCAAACGGTTCGACGACTCTTGAATTGTTGATGCGTTGTTACCCATTAAGACAATATCATCTGCATACTCTAAGTCTAAGATTCTCCAAGAAGAAGCTTGGTGCCAGCCTCCGTTACCTTACGTAATGTGTTTTGTAGGACATCATCTATGGCGAAGTTGAAGAGAAACGGAGAGATGGGGCAACCCTGTTTCATCCTACTGATGACAGGGAATGAGGGTGAAAGTTCACCATATGCCCTAACCTTCCCCGAGGTCTGGTGATAGAGCGCTTTTAGGAGTGAGACATACTTCTCGGGTACTCCGTATCTCCGCAAACAGTTCCACAGTGCGGGGCGATTGTTACAGTCGAAAGCCGCCCTGATGTCTAAGCACACGACAATGGTTTTCCGTCTGCGTGCGTGGCGGTTTTCTAGTAGCTGACGGAGGGTAAACATTTGATGTATGTAGCCACGGCGTGCACGAACCCCGGCCTGTTCCTCGCGGATTTGCTTTTCACGTAACGGGCATAACCTGCGCAATAAAACGGACGTCAGCAGCTTCGACGTTATTGGAATCAAACTTCTGTCCCTGTGGTTGGAACAGAAGTTGCAACAGCCCTTCTTGTAGATTATGGTGACAATCGATTCTCCCCATGTGTGGGCTACACTTTCACTTTCCCAGATCTTCGAGAACAGTCTCACAAGTTCTCTTACAAGAGCTTCTCCACTATCTTTAAAGAAGGCAGGTGGCAGGTCGTCTGATCCAGCTGCCTTGTGACGTTTCAGGGCTTGGAGTTCTCCTTGGATTTCCGCTTCTGTGGGCAGACCCGTGGATAGTAACCAAGGTGCACTCTCAAGAGAACTGCTTAGGGT